AAGTGACAAGCATATTAAAGAGAGTGTGGTGGAAGTAAAAACAACCTTATAGGTGGATACAAAGAGAAATTTAAAGGATATTGATGTATAATAAATAATGGGAGAAAAAACTCTTCTTTTTAAAAATCTACCCCACAGCTATTAAAGGGTTTGGATCTAAAGGAGATACTAGCAATAGGTATGTATAGGAGAGGGTTTGGAAGGGCTAATGAAAGGCGAAAAATGCTGGAAGCTATATGAATAAAACAAGGGGGAAAAAGAGAAGTGTAACAAATTCAATCAGCTAAAAAATGACAGGTTTCAAGTATTAGATGAAGTGGAAGATGAGGATTTTTGGAGGGGTCAGGGCAAAGAAAGACACAAGAGAGAGGAAGAACTTATGGATGTTACTTACTCCAAAAGGAGAAGGGATTTAAGTATAGAGGAACAAGAGGAGGAAAACACACCAAAAAAAGAGAGAAGAGAGAGGCCACACAGGAACTAACATCTATGAAAGGGATACATAACCTTAGCAATAAAATCCTAACAGAGGAACATAAAAAGGTTCTAAGTAAAGGATTAAAATTTGCTCCTAACCAACCTTTAAACAAATTTGAATTTTATGTAGATCTTAATAGATTTAAGAGAAATTTATGTTTAAAAAATTTTTTTATGAAAAACCCTATGGAACTTCAAATAGAAGCTGGGAATAAGTCCCATACAGAATTGAAACCAAAATCACAATTTTATCCCAGGCATATGATTTCGGAAAAAATGACTACTTTTGAAACGATGGTCATGACAGATATTAAAAAATTAGAGAAAATAAAAAGGTTCAACCAAAATTTAAGTTTACAGGAAAGGAAGGCACTCAAAGATCTGAAAGAGGATATAGACCTCATAATAAAACCAGCAGATAAAGGAGGAAGCATAGTCCTAATGTCCAAGGATTTTTACTGTAGGGAGGCTGAAAGAATTTTAAATGATGCAGAAACATACAAAAAATTAAACAACAATCCGAGTAATGAAATTAATGAGGTATTCTTTAACTTTTTTAATAAAGGGTTAAATTTGGAAATTTTAAATCAAAAAGAATTCCAATTTTTAAATAATTTATATCCGAAAATACCTGTTTTCTATTTTCTACCCAAAGTTCACAAAGACCTAAAAAATCCCCCAGGAAGACCTATTGTGGCAGGAATAGATTCAATATCTAGCAGGTTATCCCAATATGTGGATATACATCTGCAACCTATAGTTAAAAAAACAAAATCATACATTAAAGACACCATGATGATGTTAAAACTTTTAAGTGAATGCAGATGGAATAATAACTGTTTTTTAGTAACTTGCGATGTAACTGCTTTGTATAGTAATATACCACATGAGTATGGTTGTGAAGCAACGAAACATTTTATGGAAAATCATTCAGAACTTACCCCTAAAAAATCTCAATTCATACTGGAAGCCATAGAACTTATTTTAAAGAACAATTATTTTTGGTATAACGAAAAAATTTTTCTACAGACTAAAGGAACGGCCATGGGAACTAAGTTCGCCCCCAGTTATGCCAATCTTTTTATGGCATTTTGGGAAGATCATTTTATCTATGGGCAGCAGAACTGGGAGGAGAACTTAGTTACCTATGGCCGATATATAGATGATATATTTTTTATTTGGGAAGGACAAGAAGAAGATCTGTCCATTTTTCTGAATTCTCTAAATTCTAATATATGGGGGATCCAACTTACGAGTAATTGGAGTAAAAAAGAAGTTATTTTTTTAGACCTACATATATATATAGAGAATAATCTTATTAAGACTAAAAATTATTTTAAAACCGTGGAGGCAAATAGCTTTATAGATAGGGACAGCTGCCACTTCCTACCATGGTTGGAAAATGCCCCAAAAGGCCAATTTCTTAGGATAAGAAGAAACTGCACAGATATAGAGATGTTTGAAATGCAGTCTAACAAAATTAAATCAGACTTTATCGAAAAGGGATATGAGGAACCTAAACTAGAGATGTCAAGACAAGAAATCAGAGAAACAGAAAGAACCGGCATTTTACAATATAAAGAAAAAAAGAATGATGTGAGTAACGAAATCCCGTTTATATGTACATATAGTTCAAATAATTATAAAGTGAGAAACATTGTGTCCAAGTATTGGCACATCCTCCTTCAAGACCCTGCTTTAAAAAGCTGCCTTCCAGAAAAACCTCGCTTTATACATAGAGGAGTAAATAATTTAAGGAAGTCCCTAACTTCCAGCTTTATAAAAGAAAAACCAAATAATAATATGACCTTTCTGAATACAGAGAAAGGTTTTTTTGGATGTGGGACATGCCTAGCTTGTAAAAGAACAGGAAGCAAAAAAAGACACACTAAGGAATTTAAATGCAGTGAAGGTCAAGATCATCCAATAAAAGAATTTATAACGTGTTATTCAAAAAACCTTATTTATCTCATAAAGTGCCCATGTGGGTTAAATTACATAGGGAAAACAACGAGAGCCCTACATTTAAGGATAGAAGAACATGGCAGGAACATCAGCAAAGGTTTTGAAAAACATAGCGTGTCTTTACACTACAAAACTCACCATAATTGTGAGATAAAAGGTACGTCCTTTTTAGGAATAAATAAGATCTCCAAAGATTGGAGAGGTGGTAATTTTAACATCAAATTAAGCAAAATAGAAATGGAATGGATTTTTAAATTGAATAGTCTCATTCCCAATGGTTTAAATTCTGATTTCGAAATGTGTCATTTTTTAGCTGATTGAATTTGTTACACTTCTCTTTTTCCCCCTTGTTTTATTCATATAGCTTCCAGCATTTTTCGCCTTTCATTAGCCCTTCCAAACCCTCTCCTATACATACCTATTGCTAGTATCTCCTTTAGATCCAAACCCTTTAATAGCTGTGGGGTAGATTTTTAAAAAGAAGAGTTTTTTCTCCCATTATTTATTATACATCAATATCCTTTAAATTTCTCTTTGTATCCACCTATAAGGTTGTTTTTACTTCCACCACACTCTCTTTAATATGCTTGTCACTTTATTTGCATGCTGCTAAAAAAAGAAAGGTGTCTTTGCACATTAAAAGCCATATATTCCATTGGCTGTATATGATGAACTAAACACTTATTATGATATTCATGTATGCAGATGCAGTTACTATCAGGTTATGTGTAACTTAATTTTACCTTTTGGATTTATTATGGACTATGTCTTTGAGGAAAATATGACTAAACGAATCATGGACACTAGAATTCTAGCCGCACGGTGGAATACATGGTGAAACGCACCGTGGAACGCATGCCGCAAGCCTGCCCGAAACCGGAAGTGACGTAACCCGGAAGTAACCGGACGCAAAGAGAGGCTTGAAACACAAGGGCATCTCCGTTACCATGGAGATTGCCCGGGAAAATAACAAGCCACAAGCCCTTTGGAACCAGATATAAAAGCAGGAAGGAGTCCCTAAAGCCACATGAACACTTTTTCCAGCTGAGGAAGCCTTTTTCGGCGAAACGCGTCCTGGAGGAACAGTGAGCTGACTTTATTACATTTTTGGACTATAGCCACAAGTGTTGATTTTATCTATGCATATTTTATATTTATGTTGCATTAATTAATTTTTTATAATAAATTATACATATATTTTTTATCACACTTACGGCTTCCATTCCTACCTGCTATTTTTAAAGAAGGAATGTGGTCCTTAACCACATATAACTGATGAAGTGAGCCGATATATAGGCTCAGGGTTTGTGAGTATATTGGTATTACTTTCTTCACATACCCTATATATACCAGACGGTACTACACTATCCTTTTTATCTCCTGCCCTTATCACCTAGGACATTGTACCTGGAAAAAACCCTTGGAAGAAAAGGAGGGGAAGGGTCGCCTTTACGGACCCTAAGGCGCAGATACTTGAGCTAGTATAACAGCTCAAAAAAGTGTGAGTTAGATACCTATGCACTCTATTTTTGTTTACATTCGGTATACAGATTACACTATGTTCTGTACATTTATGTCTTTTTAAGGTTAACCTGGATATATTGGGACTACCCATTAACATATACGATCCTTTAAGGTATAGCCAAGTCTCTTGTTTACTTATTCCGGTAGATCCACTATTATAGAGCGCTACACCAATACTCCTCACTTTTCTTTCTATTCGTATGATAAAAAGATAATCACGGTGATATAGCAGCTCAATTATATTTACTTGGTATAATCTGAATTGAATAGCACACAGAAAAGCGCTTGTACTACCTATCTACATTTGCCTTTAAGTATTTTTTTTTTATCTTTTTACTTTTCTGTACATAGCTGCTGATTGTTAGTAAATTTCTAAATATGTCTCTGTTTGACAAGAGGAAAAACACCTTAGTGGATATGGAAAATGAGTTTGCTAATTGGAATTTCAAACCATCAGATAGAACAAGAAGAGAGTATGATAGTAATTGTGATAAACTTGAAAAATTATTACAAAAAGAGCTTAAAATCAAATGGGAAATAGCAACGTTAGAAAAATATTTAAAAGATGGTATTACTCCAAGAGGCCTAAGATATTTTAAACTACCAACCTTTGATAAGGATATAACAGGCTTTATGGATGAATGGAATATGATGTTGGAAGGTTTCTCCATTACCACCATCACCCTTATCATTAAAAGACGAAAGGAGAATGTAAAAGAACTAGACCTAGAGATTAACAAATGCCAAAATGAAATACTTAATTCTCTAAATCAAGAGGAATTTGACAACGTAACAGAAGATATCAAAAATAATCTTGATAAAATAGAAAAAGAAGTAATAGAGAATAAGAAAAACAAATACTATAGGGATATTAGAGACTATAAAACCAAACAAGTCAGAACCTTCTCAAAATATAACAATAATGAGACTGATAAACATTATGAAAATAGAGGTATAATAGAACCAGAAGGGAGGACTATAGCGAATAAAAATACTGAAATACAAGAACAAAAAGAGATTAAATCAGACCACACACAAACATTAAACAAGCAGTACCCAAAACCAAGAGAAAATGGATATAACCAATATAGGAACTACCCCACCAGACAGCATTACAACAGACGACCATATAACGACTGGGAAAGAGGGAAGGTTCCCTATTGGCAACAAAAAGAGCAAAGGAGAAGAGACTGGCACACTAGAGAGAGACAAGAGAACGAAAGAAAATATAGGAATGAAAATCAGGAGAGGAGACAAGAGCATAGACAAGAATATAGACAAGAGAAAAGAGAATACAGACCATACAATACGTATAAACCATATAAAAAAGAGGAACCGGTTCAAACTAGAAACAGGTTTCAAGTATTAGATGAAGTGGAAGATGAGGATTTTTGGAGGGGTCAGGGCAAAGAAAGACACAAGAGAGAGGAAGAACTTATGGATGTTACTTACTCCAAAAGGAGAAGGGATTTAAGTATAGAGGAACAAGAGGAGGAAAACACACCAAAAAAAGAGAGAAGAGAGAGGCCACACAGGAACTAACATCTATGAAAGGGATACATAACCTTAGCAATAAAATCCTAACAGAGGAACATAAAAAGGTTCTAAGTAAAGGATTAAAATTTGCTCCTAACCAACCTTTAAACAAATTTGAATTTTATGTAGATCTTAATAGATTTAAGAGAAATTTATGTTTAAAAAAATTTTTTATGAAAAACCCTATGGAACTTCAAATAGAAGCTGGGAATAAGTCCCATACAGAATTGAAACCAAAATCACAATTTTATCCCAGGCATATGATTTCGGAAAAAATGACTACTTTTGAAACGATGGTCATGACAGATATTAAAAAATTAGAGAAAATAAAAAGGTTCAACCAAAATTTAAGTTTACAGGAAAGGAAGGCACTCAAAGATCTGAAAGAGGATATAGACCTCATAATAAAACCAGCAGATAAAGGAGGAAGCATAGTCCTAATGTCCAAGGATTTTTACTGTAGGGAGGCTGAAAGAATTTTAAATGATGCAGAAACATACAAAAAATTAAACAACAATCCGAGTAATGAAATTAATGAGGTATTCTTTAACTTTTTTAATAAAGGGTTAAATTTGGAAATTTTAAATCAAAAAGAATTCCAATTTTTAAATAATTTATATCCGAAAATACCTGTTTTCTATTTTCTACCCAAAGTTCACAAAGACCTAAAAAATCCCCCAGGAAGACCTATTGTGGCAGGAATAGATTCAATATCTAGCAGGTTATCCCAATATGTGGATATACATCTGCAACCTATAGTTAAAAAAACAAAATCATACATTAAAGACACCATGATGATGTTAAAACTTTTAAGTGAATGCAGATGGAATAATAACTGTTTTTTAGTAACTTGCGATGTAACTGCTTTGTATAGTAATATACCACATGAGTATGGTTGTGAAGCAACGAAACATTTTATGGAAAATCATTCAGAACTTACCCCTAAAAAATCTCAATTCATACTGGAAGCCATAGAACTTATTTTAAAGAACAATTATTTTTGGTATAACGAAAAATTTTTTCTACAGACTAAAGGAACGGCCATGGGAACTAAGTTCGCCCCCAGTTATGCCAATCTTTTTATGGCATTTTGGGAAGATCATTTTATCTATGGGCAGCAGAACTGGGAGGAGAACTTAGTTACCTATGGCCGATATATAGATGATATATTTTTTATTTGGGAAGGACAAGAAGAAGATCTGTCCATTTTTCTGAATTCTCTAAATTCTAATATATGGGGGATCCAACTTACGAGTAATTGGAGTAAAAAAGAAGTTATTTTTTTAGACCTACATATATATATAGAGAATAATCTTATTAAGACTAAAAATTATTTTAAAACCGTGGAGGCAAATAGCTTTATAGGTAGGGACAGCTGCCACTTCCTACCATGGTTGGAAAATGCCCCAAAAGGCCAATTTCTTAGGATAAGAAGAAACTGCACAGATATAGAGATGTTTGAAATGCAGTCTAACAAAATTAAATCAGACTTTATCGAAAAGGGATATGAGGAACCTAAACTAGAGATGTCAAGACAAGAAATCAGAGAAACAGAAAGAACCGGCATTTTACAATATAAAGAAAAAAAGAATGATGTGAGTAACGAAATCCCGTTTATATGTACATATAGTTCAAATAATTATAAAGTGAGAAACATTGTGTCCAAGTATTGGCACATCCTCCTTCAAGACCCTGCTTTAAAAAGCTGCCTTCCAGAAAAACCTCGCTTTATACATAGAGGAGTAAATAATTTAAGGAAGTCCCTAACTTCCAGCTTTATAAAAGAAAAACCAAATAATAATATGACCTTTCTGAATACAGAGAAAGGTTTTTTTGGATGTGGGACATGCCTAGCTTGTAAAAGAACAGGAAGCAAAAAAAGACACACTAAGGAATTTAAATGCAGTGAAGGTCAAGATCATCCAATAAAAGAATTTATAACGTGTTATTCAAAAAACCTTATTTATCTCATAAAGTGCCCATGTGGGTTAAATTACATAGGGAAAACAACGAGAGCCCTACATTTAAGGATAGAAGAACATGGCAGGAACATCAGCAAAGGTTTTGAAAAACATAGCGTGTCTTTACACTACAAAACTCACCATAATTGTGAGATAAAAGGTACGTCCTTTTTAGGAATAAATAAGATCTCCAAAGATTGGAGAGGTGGTAATTTTAACATCAAATTAAGCAAAATAGAAATGGAATGGATTTTTAAATTGAATAGTCTCATTCCCAATGGTTTAAATTCTGATTTCGAAATGTGTCATTTTTTAGCTGATTGAATTTGTTACACTTCTCTTTTTCCCCCTTGTTTTATTCATATAGCTTCCAGCATTTTTCGCCTTTCATTAGCCCTTCCAAACCCTCTCCTATACATACCTATTGCTAGTATCTCCTTTAGATCCAAACCCTTTAATAGCTGTGGGGTAGATTTTTAAAAAGAAGAGTTTTTTCTCCCATTATTTATTATACATCAATATCCTTTAAATTTCTCTTTGTATCCACCTATAAGGTTGTTTTTACTTCCACCACACTCTCTTTAATATGCTTGTCACTTTATTTGCATGCTGCTAAAAAAAGAAAGGTGTCTTTGCACATTAAAAGCCATATATTCCATTGGCTGTATATGATGAACTAAACACTTATTATGATATTCATGTATGCAGATGCAGTTACTATCAGGTTATGTGTAACTTAATTTTACCTTTTGGATTTATTATGGACTATGTCTTTGAGGAAAATATGACTAAACGAATCATGGACACTAGAATTCTAGCCGCACGGTGGAATACATGGTGAAACGCACCGTGGAACGCACCGTGGAACGCATGCCGCAAGCCTGCCCGAAACCGGAAGTGACGTAACCCGGAAGTAACCGGACGCAAAGAGAGGCTTGAAACACAAGGGCATCTCCGTTACCATGGAGATTGCCCGGGAAAATAACAAGCCACAAGCCCTTTGGAACCAGATATAAAAGCAGGAAGGAGTCCCTAAAGCCACATGAACACTTTTTCCAGCTGAGGAAGCCTTTTTCGGCGAAACGCGTCCTGGAGGAACAGTGAGCTGACTTTATTACATTTTTGGACTATAGCCACAAGTGTTGATTTTATCTATGCATATTTTATATTTATGTTGCATTAATTAATTTTTTATAATAAATTATACATATATTTTTTATCACACTTACGGCTTCCATTCCTACCTGCTATTTTTAAAGAAGGAATGTGGTCCTTAACCACATATAACTGATGAAGTGAGCCGATATATAGGCTCAGGGTTTGTGAGTATATTGGTATTACTTTCTTCACATACCCTATATATACCAGACGGTACTACACTATCCTTTTTATCTCCTGCCCTTATCACCTAGGACATTGTACCTGGAAAAAACCCTTGGAAGAAAAGGAGGGGAAGGGTCGCCTTTACGGACCCTAAGGCGCAGATACTTGAGCTAGTATAACAGCTCAAAAAAGTGTGAGTTAGATACCTATGCACTCTATTTTTGTTTACATTCGGTATACAGATTACACTATGTTCTGTACATTTATGTCTTTTTAAGGTTAACCTGGATATATTGGGACTACCCATTAACATATACGATCCTTTAAGGTATAGCCAAGTCTCTTGTTTACTTATTCCGGTAGATCCACTATTATAGAGCGCTACACCAATACTCCTCACTTTTCTTTCTATTTAAAAGAATCTGCCCGGCCTTCTCCTTGGCTGAGATAATACGAAATAACAATCTCTATGGAAAAGCATTGTGATTGGCTGGGATCATCAATTCTGAAGATGTCAGCCAAGGAGGTGGATCTGGGTGGAGCCAGTGCCAGCAGACCTGCTGGAAATAAGGTGTTTTTGCTATATTTAAGATGGGCAAGGGAGGGGTGGGGAGGGCTAAATACTTAGTTTAACACTATAAGGTCAGATATACTGGTTAACTGTAACTGTTTAGCTTAACTGTAAAAATTCACCTATGCTTTCACTTTGGCTACTCTGGCCTTAATTTTGAATTTCACTTTGAATTAACTTTGGATTCTCACTTTTTTTAAAAAGCCTGTGTGTATAAAACCACAAACCTGGGCATAGTCTGATGAATCTATAAAGTTTGATGCATAAATTACACAGTCTGCTTAGCTGTATCCTTGTATGTTATCCACTATGTCTGTCACTGTTTTTAAGGATAGAAACCAATAGGACGATTATTTTATCCATCAAATCCTTGCTTGGTGAAATGCAGCTAATACCATTTAACTCTGTGAATGCAAGTAGAGTGAGTAATACACTTCTCAAAGGGTTAAGAAAGCCTTCTACTGCACAGCAGGAGTTTTTTTTTAAGAACTCATATCTGTCCTACATCCTGCATTATTCTCATTCTCAGCTATCTGTGACATCTCAATCAGTTTTACGATTCAATCGTTCTAGCTGCTGATTGGAATTCCATTTTAAACTCTCTCTGTATTAATGATTCGCCTTTGCAAAGGTTGTATTCAACTCCTGCCTGTGTGTGTGTGTGTGTGTGTGTATGTATGTGTGTGTGTAAATATACTATCTCTCTCTCTATATATATAGATATAGAGAGAGAGAGAGAGAGAGAGAGAGAGAGAGAGAGATAGATATATATATATTATTATATTTTATATAATAATTTTATATATATATAAAATTATTATATAAAATATAATAATATATAAATCTTTATTATCCTT